TCACGCATACATTTTTCTATTTACATTTGGTGGAGGGGAGTGACTTATATGGGTAGAAAAATGTATGCGTGGAGACAGTATGTTCCGCCCCCCCTTCGGGGGGGCTCCACTTCGTTAAAGATAACACTACCCACCCTATGTCAGAGGTGTGGAGTGGATTTCGCTTCACGTGGAAAGTTGCAAACCCATGTGGAACAGTACAATGGTGGAAGTACATGCGTGGAGACAGTATGTTCCGCCCCCCCCCCTTCGGGGGGGCTTCACTTCGTTAAAATATAACCATACCCAAACCATGTCTGAGGTGTAGAGTGGATCTCGCTTGCTCGGTCAGTCTGCGCCGCGAGAAGAATTAAGCGTGCGCGCGCGCGCGCGTGTGTGTGTGTTCAACCCGTACCGATTGGTGCGGGAGGGGGCAGGTGTGACCTTGTAAATGAAAACGGTAGTTTGTTTATGATTTTAAAGGTAGCTACTCAGGCATTTTAATAAAAATTACTAAGAAATAGTATTAAAATTTTTAGTTTTCAATTAGTTATATCTCCTAAACCAATGCCGTCCCCCATTTGATTCTTGCGGGGAATTACTCAGAAAACTCTCCCCTACAACATATCTAAGTGGCGAGGAAATCGGTGAGGTGTGATCTATTCTGCATATTTACCAAAGAAAATTCCGCGACATTAAGTCTTATGACTGCCCGGCCATGAGAATGAATCCTCGCGGCTATGTCCGACGCCACTCGGACATAGCTGCGACTAAGTCCGTAGCGAGGAGCGATGCTCACGGCTAAGTTCGCGTCCCCACGAGAATCGGTCCTCGCGGCTATGTCCGACGCCACTCGGTGCGGGAACTAAGTCCGTAACGAGGAGCGATGCCCGTGGCTAAGTCCCTTTGGGCTTACTTGCGGATGCTAGCGGTTGGCCTGATCTGGAGATCGCGGACGAGAGCGCTTTCTCGCCCCGAAACTTCGGTATATATACCGTAGTTCGGTACCCCGCGCGGAAAGGGGACACCGATCCACGGTTACTTGAGGGGGGGAAGTCCCTCGATTTTGTTTCTGGTAGGACCCGCGCAAGGTCCCGCTAGAAACGTCCTTCCGACCAACGGTCGCGGCGCGCGACAGGTACACGTTACATTTTGGCGTTCTTTACTCTTTAATGCCGGGTGTTGCATTCGCCGCCACCGCAACGACGGCGTCTGCATCCCGGATTCGTTGAAGGGATGATGGGTCCCGCTCAATCGCTTTTAATGCGTCCGTCGCCGTCGCGCGCGAGCGCCGGCACGTGAGCCGCGGAAAGGCGCGGCGCGGCACGAGGGCGGCGCGTCAACACAGCGAACTCCGGCACGTGCCTCCCGGTTTCGCGGAAACCCGCGGCCGAATTTCCCGGAAAAGCGCAGCCGAGTTTCGCGGAACCCGTCTCGCGCTCCGTGAAGGTGCCAAACGTAACAGTATGCCGTTCGGCCTAGAGTCCCTGTAGTAAGAGTCTGGCAAGGCTTGACGCAAAATGGCGTCTGGTCTGTTCGTTATCGCTGCATTACTGCACTAGTGCAGTTAGTTAATTGCACTAGTGCAGTAATGCAGCGATAACGAACAGATCAAAGGTAACCAAATAATAATAATAATAATAATAATCCCGCGTTTAGAGTACAGATTCTAGACACCTTATTGGTTCCGCCATTTTACGTCAAACCAATCAAACGGAGAATATTTCTTGCCAGACTCTTACTACAGGGACTCTAGTTCGGCCTAGCGAACGCGCCTTCGGTTTTCCAAACGACCATGAATAAGATCTTAGCAGAAGTCAAAAACAAATTCGCTTTGATATACATGGACGACGTGCTGGTGCCAGCATGTTCGTTCACGGAAGGTCTCGAACGATTGGAAGAAGTTTTGAAGTTGACTGGCAGAAACGGATTAACACTAAACTTGAGCAAGTGCGACTTCTTTCGCAGAAAGATCGATTTCTTGGGTTTCGAAATTAGCGAAAATGGAATTCGACCTGGGACGCGGAAGGTTACCGCGGTTTCAAATTTCCCGACTTCTAGTAACGTACACGAAATCAGACAATTCATTGGACTCGCAAGCTTCTTTCGAAAATTCGTAAAAGATTTCGCCATTATAGCCCGACCGCTTACGGATCTTTTAAGGGCTAACGTTGGGTGGAAATGGACGGGCGAACAAATGAGAGCCTTTGACACATTAAAAGAAAAACTAGTAGAACGACCAGTAATAGCGCTGTACGACGCGAGATTTGAGACAGAATTGCACACGGACGCATCAAAATTAGAGATTGCAGATATTCTTATGCAGTGAGATACCAAAGGAATGATCAGACCCGTCGCTTATTACAGCCGAAAAACGACAGACGACGAACAGAAATTACATTTTTTCGATTTAGAGACCCTCGCGGTAGTTGCTTCCCTGCACCGTTTCCATACTTATTTGTTAGGTGTGAAATTCAAAATAATTACGGACTGTAACGCGTTGCGAGCCATATTAATTAAATGTGACCTTATACCGCGTGTTGCGAGGTGATGGATTCATCTTCAAGAATATGACTGCGAAATCGAATACAGGCCAGGACTACGCATGGCGCACGTGGACGCGTTGAGTCGCAATCCGATAGTTGAATCGAGCGATAATGAGGAAAGATGCGTCTTAGGCCCGGTTTCACCAACGTGAGTTAATCTAATCGGTTGATTAAATTTGTCACCAGAATTGCCAAAAGCAAGACTTCAAAAACGAACGTGGTTAAGTCGTTGTTCTTAACTGTTTAGGATTATAGCTTTCTATTACAAATCAAAGCGTCTTAAGTTTGAAGAAGGCGCACTCTCGAATTAACGCGCCGATCGTAAGGTGACAGCACCTGCCGAACCGAGTTACGGACGCCGCGATGGGAAGAGAGGGGAAAAGGATTCGGAGAGAATCGAGAGCAGTCGCAAGGAGAGCTCTCAACGATTAACACGATCTTGGATAATAAGTCGGTCGACGCGATTATAAGTCTTAACGCGAGGTCACCGACGATTGGAGCATTACACGGCCGCTTCGAGAAAAGTTGCGAGCGACGGTCTCGAATTGAACGTACTTTATACAACGTCGTAATCGAGTGAGAGCGAAATCCTTCTGTAACCTGAGTCTTGTTCGGTGTAAATAAAAGTGGTTCTTGTTATCTGTTAATTCAGTCTCATTTTTTGGACTATCGTCTCGAGTCACGAAGAGTTTCCATCTCAGATGGCCCATTCGGCCATCTAAGTACCTGCCGCACGAGTAAAGTAGAGAGACCTCTATTAAGTGCGAAGGAACGTTTCACGGGGAAACAAAGAACAGGCGTGAACATTGCGCAAAATCACTAACATTTAATGGTCCTTCGAGCCGGATACACATATGCCGACCCGGTGAACGCACCTTGTTCAGAAAACCGAAAGGACATCGTGATTCTCGTGCAAGTGATTTCTCGTTCGAGAATATTCGATGCTACGAGACTGACTCAAGGCCACGTATCAAAACAACATTCCTTGTTTTTTCGACATTGACTATTGTGCTCCCACAGGGACTAGTCCTTGCGGATTTCACCGATACAGCTACGGTGAAATTTACTCATCCTCGCGGCGATACTACGAGATACGCATTACTTCAAAATGGACAAACTTTGGAACGAACAACGCGAGGTCATGCGACAAATACACCGAACGCTGGAAAACTTCAAGAAACTCGGTCAGGCTAATTATACGACCAGCAATGCACGCAGTCGACAAGCCGTTCTCCAGGAAAGATGGGGAAGATGCCAGGCGTTACATTCTGCCATCGTGGCAGCAATCTCTCAGGACGATTTGGCTACGATGCCGTACTTCCGGGACGACGAGATGCAGACAGCGGAGGACAGCTACTTCGAAGCAACGGACTTCTTCGCCGACCTATTGGAAACGTTATCAAAACCCGTGTCAAATTGTAGTATCGTAAATTCTACTGCTTTGACTGAACGTAGCTCCGCGTCTATACCTCTGCCTCGCATTCAGTTACCAAAATTTTCGGGTCAATACACCGATTGGTCAAATTTTCGAGATTTATTCCAGTCTTTGGTGGTCTCTAATGAAGCGTTGTCCGACGTGCAACAGTTGCATTATTTAAAAACGAGTCTAATCGGAGAGGCTGGTTTAATTTTGAGAAATATATCAATTACCGAGGCAAACTATAAAACCGCGTGGACCGAGTTGACGCAGCGTTATGAAAATAAAAGAATGGTTGTATCCAATCATTTACGAGCTGTTCTCGAGTTGACGCCTATGAAATCTGAGTCCGCGGTTGAGTTAAAACGCGTTTACGATACTACAAACGATTCCGTTCATGCGTTGAAAAATCTTGGCCGTGCAGTAGATGATGATTTTGTGGTTGCGATTATTGAACGTAAACTCGATGTTAAAACACTGCAAGAGTGGAATTTACTTCTCGGTAGCTCAACCGAACTTCCGACCTTCAAGGAACTCTGTCAATTTCTAGTCAATCGACTCAGAGCTTTAGAAGCTACACAACAAATCAGTGAAGGGAATAAGAAATCTAAACACATAGCAAGCACGAAATCTCTCGTCTCTGCCGTTGACAAATCTAAATGTATTGCTTGTAACGAATCTCACTCGCTGTATCAATATATTAAAAAATCACTAACCGTAGGTAAACGGAAGGAACTTGTAAAAAAGCATCGCTGTTGCCACAATTGTCTAGGAAAGGGACATTACCCTCGAAATTGTCTCTCGAGCAGGAGGTGTGCTCGCTGCAGTCGCAAACATCACTCGCTTTTACACGAGGACCTTGAAGGTAATAATTCGGATAACGAGAAGGCTGAATCCGACAAGGAAGACGACGGGATCAGCAACAAAATCGGTGAGTGCGACTAGGACTAGAATCGCTCTGAAGGCATTGATTTCTCGAAAATTATTCGATCATTCGCCGACTCAAGTTTTACTCGCTACAGCACGAGTAACCGTACGCTCCCTTGAAGGTCGATCTATAAGGTTGCGCGCTTTAATTGACACTGGCTCGGAAGCCACCTTTCTAAGTGAGCGAGCTGCGCAGTCACTAAGACTCTCCCGCAGAAAAGTTAAGATTCGCGTGACGGGTATAGGCGACCAATGTGCCAATGTTGTTAATTATATATCGCAAATTCAGATAGGCGCGCGCGGTAACGATAACGACTTTATAACGACAAATGCTCTCATCCTTCCGAACCTTACGTCCCACCGAGACATTCCTACTTTTAGATTCGATTATATCCCTCACTTGAGAGGAATCAAGCTCGCGGACGCTAATTGGTCCAAGCTCGATCTCATCGACCTGTTAATTGGTGCCGATCTCTACGGATCCATTCTGCTCGATGGATTACGGAAGGGTCTCGCCGATGAACCTATTGCTCAGCGCACCATATTCGGGTGAATTGTATTCGGGTCTTGTGCTCCTTCGAGTCGATCAGGAACCTCCTCCAATGGTATATCCTGTCTGCAGTCTAAAATATCCCACGCGAATGACTTAGATCTTCGCAAATTCTGGGAGCTGGAGGAGATTCCGGGCTTCAACGCTCTCACGGAGGACGAAACTCTTTGCGAACAGCACTTCGCCTCCACCCACTCTCGCCGCACCGACGGTCGTTACGTCGTGAGGTTGCCCTTCAAAGAAGGCGCCGTTACCGAGTACGTTGATTCGTTTCAAATCGCGTCGCGATCGCTAAAGCGTTTAGAAATCCGTCTCTCCAAGGACGCTAAACTTGCGGAGGCTTATTCTTTTTTTCTCTCTGAATACGAGCAGCTAGGACATATGGCTCTTACCGCTGTCTCGGAGAACTCTGAATCTAGAGCATCTGCTGGCTATTATATGCCTCATCATCCGGTTCTTAGGGAAACCAGTACTACTTCCCCTCTGAGGGTTGTCTTTAACGCTTCATGCGTAACTCATTCAGGTTCGTCGCTAAATAACCAGTTATTGACGGGACCTAAGCTACAATCGGATCTCCCATCGATCCTACTTAGATGGAGGACTCATCGGTTAGTCCATATCGCCGACATTGCAAAAATGTTTAGGCAAATTATCATGCACCCTGCTGATACGAAATATCAAAGAACCTTATGGCGTACTGAGGCAGACCAACCAGTCTCTTCGTACGAGTTGTTAACCGTAACTTACGGTACCGCTTGTGCGCCATACTTGGCAATGCGCGTTTTGAAACAATTATGTGACGATGAAGGTGCCGCCTTCCCACGCGCCGCATCGGTTTTGCAAGAATCTACTTACGTGGACGACGTTCTCTTCGGCGCCCACAACTTCTCCGAGATCATAGAGATCCGAGGACAGCTTAATGCCCTCTTAGAAAAGGGAGGTTTCCATTTGCGAAAGTGGACTTCCAATTCTGAAGAACTTCTTCGTTACATACCTAAGACTGACCTTCTGGTCGGCTCCCGTTTTCTGATGAACAACCGATCAAGGCCTTGGGCCTATCCTGGAAACCAGAACGCGATTGTTTTACTTTTCAATTTAATTCTGCAGAATTCGAGAAAACGCGAGGGAGCGTTGAGCCGACTAAGCGTTCTGTTCTTTCCACAATCTCTCGCATATTCGACCCTCTCGGTCTGATCTCACCGATCGTGATCCTAGCGAAAATATTCTTGCAAGAACAATGGATTCGAAAGTTAGATTGGGACACTCCGATTCCGAGTGATCTCCGAGGATCTTGGGAGAGTTACTTCGAGAATCTGAAATGTCTGCACGAAGTATCGATACCGAGATGGACTAATCAAGGTCCAAATAGAAACGCAGTACAATTGCATGGATTCGCCGATGCGTCCAGCAGAGCTTATGCGGCAGTAGTTTATCTCAAGGTCGTAACGGATGCAAATCAAGTCAAAACTAGTCTCCTCATTAGTAAGACTAAAGTTGCTCCGCTCCAAACGGTCAGTATTCCTCGTTTAGAGTTGAGCGCTGCTCAGTTACTCTCCACGCTCTTATCCTTTGTAAAACTTACACTAAATCTCTCCACCGTTCCTCTCTACTGTTGGTCGGACTCGACGATTACTCTCGCCTGGATTAAGAAGCATCCGTCGCAATGGAAGCCTTTCGTGGCTAATCGAGTAGCCGATATACAAAATCGCTTACCTGACGCTATCTGGGGATACGTCAACACTAAGCAGAACCCAGCTGATTGCGCCTCTCGTGGCGTCAGCACTGCTTCTCTTAAAGATCACCACCTCTGGTGGCACGCGCCATCGTGGCTCGAGTTAGATAATTCTTTCTGGCCTGAGCAACCGTTTTCGGAAGAGATACAAATCGATAAGGAAAGGAGATCTGTGAAAACGATGGTCGTTCGTTCCGATCAATCGGAATGGAAACTCCCCGACGAAACCCCCTCGTGGCCTCGGCTCCTCAAGATAACTGCGTATTGCATTCTCTTTTGTAGTAAACTTTCGCGATATAAACGCTTCCCCACTCTTGCTCAAAACGATTGCGAGTATTCACTAACGATTGCTGTACAATTGGCTCGTTCCTTTTGGATTAGCTCGGTACAACTCGCTCAATTTTCTGACGAAATCTCCGCCATTAAATCGGGATCTCCGCTTCCACGGTCTAGTAAACTTAAAAGTCTGAATCCCTTCGTGGACGACGACGGATTGTTACGCGTAGGAGGCCGATTAGAACACTCTCCGTTCTCCTTTGAAGAGAAACATCCCGTTATCTTACCTCGTCATCGAGTCTCCGATCTAAGTCGACCAAGCTCATAGACGTTGCCTCTACGGAGGTTCTCAGTTAACCCTCCGCGCTGTCAGACAACAATTTTGGATTTTGAGCGCCCGAAATCTAGTAAAATCAGTTGTACACAACTGCGTCATTTGCACGCGTTACCGAGCGAAGCCTATCTCGCAGCAGATGGGAAAATTACCGAAGGCGCGCGTAACTCCGTCGCGGCCTTTCGTCCACACCGGAGTGGAGTCCACACTGGTGCAATGAGTTGGAATGAGAGGTAATCTATTTGTTTCATTTTAACTTATTGCACTAATTCAGTAGTACAGTAATAAAGAACAGGTCTATTAATACACATTTTTTAAATATTTTTTCTACGTATTGATATGTTATTTCTTTCTTTCTTTTCTAGTTCGTCAAAGAGGTAGCGGACGCGGACGAGCGCGGGCCCGCTGGTATTACCAGCGAGGCCGCGGCTACGCCAGAGGGAAAGTTAATATTAATAAGTATTATATGAATAATAAATCAACATAAAAATGAAAAAAATTTTATTTTATTCTGCCGTTGATAGACCTCCTTATATCCTATTCTTTAATGATTTTTAAATGCGAGTTACTTTTAAAAATTATCTCCTAGCGGATTAATTTATGAATCTTTTGTGTTGCTAAGTACCTCCTTGAAAGTAATCGATACTCTAAGCTGTCAGTAATGCTTCTGTAAATGCTATTTGCGTCATTAAATCTGCTTTCAGAACAAGGCAAGAACGTTATGAGAACCTCGAGATTGATATTAATGATTTATCTCTCATGTCAGCAGACAAATTATATTCTAAATTTCCTACTAAGTCAAAAAGTAGTCTTACATTACATTCTGTGGATGATGATGATGATGATGATAATGATAATATTGGTTCTTCATCTAATGATATACGATAATGTTTGTAAGAGACATCATGTCTATAACGAGACATCATGCTCGAAAACGAGTATGGACAAAACTTAGTCTGAAAAAGACTTCATGTTCGTAAGGGACATCATGTTCGTAAAGGACATCATGTCCGTAAGAGACATCATGTCTATAAGAGACATTATGTCTGCAAAAGACACGTGATGTGTAAAATCCGACCACGCAACCTCCTCGTGGTGCACATTGGGTTACGCTAATGCCGGCGGTACCAATATGTTAAGATATTACAAAAAGATAGTAAGAACGTTTTTTATTTCAGTGTCGGACACACA